AATCGCCACTGTTTTTTCTGTTTTGTTTTTTTCACAGCATCTTCTCTAATTTTGTTTAATAGGGAGTAAAACAACCAAACACTCTCGCAGTCACTCCTAGGGGAAATTTAGAGTGTACATTTACCCTAACATGCGTTTTTGGACAGTGGGAGGTGTCCAGAATGCCCAGCTGAAATCGATGCAGAGGCTTGGAGAACACCATAAAGAAAGGGGATTCAAACCAGGAGCCTTCTTGCTGTGAGGCCGCAGTGCTACACGCCACACCACCCTGCCACTTTCATGTCATTGGCTCAAATCTTTCGATCACTCCAATTGAAAATAAACAGTATTTTATGAAGAATCTGCTTTGTAACATGATCAAAGTCATACAACATAAATCTGGACAGGATGGAAGGATTTAAAAAAAAAAACTGGTTCAGAAGAATTACTGGACAACATATGTTGGAAAAAATAAAAATGTTTGAAAAAAACTTCAAAAATTGCACTCAGCGACACAAATTGGACAGCAATAAAATGATATGTTAAAAACCCAATCATGTTTCTCCATCCATCCATCCATGATCCTCCGCTTATCCGGGGTCGGGTCGCGGGGGCAGCAGTCGAAGCAGGGAGACCCAGACTTCCCTCTCCCCGGCCACTTCCGCCAGCCCCTCCGGGGGGATCCCGAGGCGTTCCCAGGCCAGCCGGGACACATAGTCCCTCCAGCGTGTCCTGGGTCTTACTCTGGGCTTTCTCCCAGTGGGACGAGCCCGGAACACCTCCCCAGGGAGGCGACCAAGAGGCATCCTGATCAGATGCTCGAGCCACCTAAACTGGCTCTTCTCCACGTGGAGGAGCAGCGGCTCTATTCCGAGCCCCTTCCGGATGGCCGAGCTTCTCACTCTATATCTAAGGGATAGCCCAGCCACCCTGCGGAGGAAACTCATTTCGGCCGCTCGTATCCGCGATCTCGTTTCTTTCGGTCACTACCCAAAGTTCGTGGCCATAGACGAGGGTGGGAACGTAGATCGACCGATAAATTGAGAGCTTCGCCTTTAGGCTCAGCTCTCTCTTCATCATGACAGACCGGTATAGCACCCGCATTACTGCAGACGCCGCACCGATCCGCCTATTGATCTCACGCTCCCTACCCCCATTCTCGAACAAGACCCCGAGGTACTTGAACTCCTCCATTTGGGGAAGGACGTTCGCACCGACCTGAAGAAGGCACTCTATCCTTGACGGGTGAGAGACCATGGTCTCGGACTTGGAGGCACTGATCCTCATCCCAGCCGCTTCGCACTCGGCTGCGAACCGCTCCAGCGAGGGCTGTAGGTCCCGACTTGATGAAGCCAACGGGACCACATCATCTCCAAAAAGCAGAGATGCGATCCTAAGGCCACCGAGAATGACACCCTCAACACCTCGGCTGCGCCTAGAAATCCTGTCCATAAAAGTTATGAACAGGACCGGAGACATAGGGCAACCTTGGCGGAGTCCAACTCCCACCGGAAACGAGTCCGACTTACTACCGGCAATGCGAACCAAACTCTGACTCCGGTCGTACAGGGACCGAACAGCCCGTAACAAAGGGCCAGGTACCCCGTACTCCCGGAGCACCCCCCCCAGGATACCCCGAGGGACATGGTCGAACGCCTTCTCCAAGTCCACAAAACACATGTGGACTGGTTGAGAGAACTCCCATGCACCCTCTAGGACCCCGCTGAGGGTATAGAGCTGGTCCAGCGTTTCACGGCCAGGACGAAAACCACACTGCTCCTCCTCGATCCGAGGCTCGACTATCCGACGGACCCTCCTCTCCAGAACCGCTGAATAGACCTTCCCAGGGACCACCACCCCAGTCTGCCAAGCCAGCGGAACTCCCCCTGATGTCCACGCAATGTTGCAGAGTCGCGTTAGCCAACGCAGCCCCACAACATCCAAAGCCTTAAGGAACTCCGGCCGAATCTCATCCACCCCCCGGAGCCTTGCCACCGCGGAGCTTTTTGACTACCTCGGTGACTTCAGCCCCCGTGATTAGAGATCCCGACTCCGGATCCCCAGGCTCTGCCCCTCCAATGGAGGACACGCCAGTGGGATTGAGGAGGTCCTCGAAGTACTCCGCCCACCAACCCACAACGTCACGAGTTGAGGTCAACAGCACACCATCCCCACTGTAAACAGTGTTTGTGGGGCACTGCTTACACCCCCCCCCCCCCCCGCTGGTGGAGCGGGCCAGAATTGCCTCGAGGCCATACAGAAGTCTTTTTCCATGGCCTCCCCAAACTCTTCCCACGCCCGGGTTTTTGCGTCAACGACCACCCGCGCTGCACGTCGCTTGGACTGCCGATACCCATCGGCTGCTTCCAGAGTCCCATAGGCCAAAAAGGCCCGATAGGACTCTTTCTTCAGCCTGACGGCTTCCCTCACCGCCGGTGTCCACCAGCGGGTTCGAGGGTTGCCGCCACGACAGGCAACGACAGCCCTGCTACCGCAGCTCCGGGAGGCCGCGTCATTAATGGAAGCGCGGAACATGGCCCACTCGGACTCAATGTCCCCCGCCTCCCCCGGAACGTTCTCGAAGCTCTCCCGGAGGTGGGAGTTACAGCTCCGTCTAACAGGGGACTCCGCCAGGCGCTCCCAGCAGACCTTCACAATGCGTTTGGGCCTCCCGGGTCTCACCTGCATCCTCCCCCACCATCGGAGCCAACTCACCACCAGGTAGTGGTCAGTGGAAAGCTCCGCCCCCCTCTTGAAGCCGAGTGTCCAAAACATGCGGCCGCAGATCAGCTGAAACGACAACAAAGTCGATCATTCAGCTGCGGCCTAGAATGTCCTAGTGCCAAGTGCACATATGGACACTCTTATGCTTGAACATGGTGTTCGTTATGGACAATCCGTGCCGAGCACAGAAGTCCAAAAACAGAACACCACTCGGGTTCAAGCTAGGGTGGCCATTCCTCCCAACCACGCCCCTCCAGGTCTCACTGCCCACGCGAGTGTTGAAGTCCCCCAGCAAAACGAGGGAGTCCCCAGAGGGGGCACCCTCCAGTACCCCTTCTAAGGACTCCAAAAAGGGTGGGTACTCTGTACTGCCGCTAAGCGCATAGGCACAAACGACAGTCAGGACCCGTCCCCCCACCCGAAGGCGAAAGGATGCTACCCTCTCGTTCACTGGGGTAAACCCCAATGTACAGGCACCGAGATGGGGGGCAATGAGTATGCCCACTCCTGCTCGGCGCCTCTCACCGGAGGCAACTCCAGAGTAGAAGAGCGTCCAACCCCTCTCGAGAAGGCTGGTTCCAGAGCCAGGGCTGTGTGTTGAGGCGAGACCGAATACATCCAGCCGGAATCTCTCCGCCTCGCACACCAAGTCAGGCTCCTTCCCCGCCAGAGAGGTGACGTTCCACGTCCCCAGAGCCAGCTTCTGCAGTTGGGGATCGGTTCGCCAAGGTCCCCGACTCCGGCCGCCGCCCAGGGCACAGCGCACCCGACCCCTTTGGCCCCTCCCACGGGTGGTGAGCCCATGGGAAGGGGGACCCATGTAACCTCTCCGGGCTGAGCCTGGCCGGGCCCCATGGGTAAAGGCCCGGCCACCAGGCGCTCGCCATCGTGCCCCGCCCCTGGGCCTGGCTCCAGGGGGGGGCCCCGGTGACCCGCGCCCGGACGAGGGTACTCTGAATCCATTTTTCTTCTTCCTCATAAAGGGTCTTCTGGGCTGCACTTCGTCTGATCCCTCACCTAGGACCTGTTTGCCTTGGATGACCCAACTAGGGGCTTGAAGCCCCGGACAACATAGCTCCTAGGATCACTGGGACACTCAAACCCCTCCACCACGATAAGGTGGCAGCCCAGGGAGGGGAAAGAAAATCCAGCGTTGGAATTACTTACACTTTGCTTCACTTGCTTTACCAGGGGCATCCCTTTCTATTTCCAATAAACTCTTGAAGACTCAGCTATTCAGAGAGCATCTCTCACCCTGAATATCACCCTGTACCTCTCATTCCCTATACCACTCTTACTTTACTTCCCTCTATCTCTACACTGTCACCACTGTCACCTCTAACAGAGTCTGGCTTGAGATTTCCTTTCATGTAGCTAATTGTTGGCTTGATGCTAAATGTATTGTTGTACCTGCATTGTAGGTTGCTTTAGATAAAAGTGTGTCCTGAATGCATAAACAGAACTTTGTTCCAAGGACTTGTTGTTCGGTCAAAGAACCAGTGACACTTCACCAGAGTTTCTACAGTGGAACCATTAGAAAATAAAAATACTGCATCCAATTGTCAAAAACTACAGATGTTTCATTTTTAAGTCTCTATATATACAGTACTTTTCGTACAAAAGCGACCAGAAAGTGCTTTACAGTAACCCCCACTCCCTTTTAAATTTTGACTATACTGTGTCTCTTTAGCTGAAACATTATCCTAAAATAAAATCAAAATCTGCATATAAACATAAACATCTGGCTAAACATTGAAGTGAGGGAACAATATCTTGTGAACCTGTCAATAACAGGGGCCAGCCCACCGATGACCACAAAGGCCATCACCACAGAAACTGTCCGGACCTGGCCAGGCCAGCATCCACACTACAGCTATGGCTGTAGGGCAGGAAATACCATCCACCCCGTGGTGTTCTCATTACATCTCATTAAATTCAGAGATCTGAATGATCAGCAGGGAGGACGTCTTTGTGATATCACACCAGGCATGGCGGATGGTCATTATAGACACCCCAGCCAGGCTTCTCTCATTTCCTGATTAGTCAAAGTGGAGTCTGAACTGATGTTCATGAGGTGGGACAACACTTTGGTTTTCTCCTCCATCCTTCACATCAAAGCTCTGTCACAAGGTTAGTGTTTTAATTAGATTTGATCAAATTTGACCAGCACTTAGATTCTTTAGGTTCATTTTTTATAATACCAGAGCTTTCTTCAAGGAGATTTGCTCCATGAATTCCTCGTCCTTTGCCTACAATCTGTCAAGCGCTGTGCCGACTCGGGACTCACTTAGCACGGCTGTGGCTAAAAATGTGATCGTCCTGGCTCTTGGCATCACCATCAACTACATCAACGGCACTCTGATTCACACTTTCAGAAAGCACCAGGTAAGAACCTCCTGTCATTTTTCAGTCATCCCTGTCGTAAAAAGATTAAATCATACAGATTACCACTCTCGACACGGTCTGTATCTTCTTATTTTTGGATTGAATCTAACTGATGAACACACTTTGAAATGGAATTTCTTCTCTCTTTCAGATCTTTTATGTGAATCCTCGTTACATCCTGTTCATCCACTTGGTGTTGAATGACATGATCCAGCTCACTGCAGCTATCAGTCTGTTTTTATTAAGTTATGTCTTCTATAAGATCCATGCTTCCCTCTGTTGCTTTATCATTACCTTTGCTATCTTCACCACCCTTAACACTCCTTTAAATCTGGCTGTGATGGCAGTGGAGTGTTACATAGCTGTTTGCTTCCCCCTGCAACACTCACGGCTCTGTACCGTTAAAAGAACATATGTGCTGATTTGCTGTATTTGGGCTGTGAGTGCAGTGTCCATTCTGCCAGACATCTTTATTGTTCTAGCAACAGAGCCTGAAAGGTTATTTTACTCCACCACATTTTGTGATAGGGAAAACATGTTCAGACACCCAGCTAGTTTGCAGAAGAGAAATATTTCTTACCTGATCTATCTCGGTGGAGTATGGCTCACCCTCCTCTACACCTACTTCAAGATTTTCGTTGCTGCTAAAGCTGCTGATTCAGCAGATGGAAATATCAAAAAGGCCAGGAACACAATCCTGCTTCATGGCTTCCAGCTGCTGCTGAGCATGTTAACATTTGTGGCCCCCCTTTTTAAATTAGCTTTAATGAAATGGTTCCCTCAATATTACATACAAATTCTCTTTGTTTGGTACATCATCACCCAGATAGTTTCCCGGTTTGTCAG